TGGGTATAGGGTACAAAAATCGCAAAAATTGTTGCCAGCCAGATCAACATTTCTTTAATGCTATGTTTAAATTATTTCAAACTAAGATATCAGTAAACGATTTGAGCGCTTCACTTACTATTATTGTTGGTTTTTTCCAATTCGAAGGATGGCCTTAAGCAATGCGGTTTGTTTTCAGTAAACTCTCAACACACTAGGAGTTCCTGATTTGCTGATGACAATTATTGTGTTTTTATATTTATTTGTTGTTAAAAACCCTCTGTGGCATTTGCACAAACGCACAGCATGAGGGTGGGGTGTAGGGCCTGTCCTGGAAGGGAGGGGGGGGGGGGCGGGGGATGGGGGCTAGGACCAATGCATTACATATGAAATGTCAGTGCACGCCATGAAATCCCATTGTTTTTGACATGGCCCTGGGCTGTTGTACAAAAATATAAAACAGCAGGCATTCGCTTCTCAAATAAATACGAGTATATGCTAGTATATATTTTATTTAGTAGCGTATTCGTATGTATGTCATAAGTGGGATGTCAGATGCACAAAAAATGGTCTTCTTAGCCCGCAAAACTGGGTCATCAGCGTTATATTTTTAGCAATTGCGAATCCTCTGTTAGCAGCCAGTTTTAATTTTGCGATGAAGCGAATCGGTATTGTGTTTACCTTCGAATTATATTTATATCCATGGCCAAGTGTAAAGTTTTCTAATGACTCAATTGATTTTAACCCAATGCTTCCATAGTTGCTCCCACGCACACACACACACACACATACACACACACACACACACACACACACACACACACACACACACACACACACACACACACACACAAACACATACAAAACAAACACACAGGAAACACATAAAAACAATTTGCTGGATGGCCGTAAATCTGCGAGTCCTTTTAATCCCAATGCTATAATAAATTTCGCTAGCTGTCTGCTGTTGTGAAATTAATGACAATGTGAAATTGTTTTACACTTGTCGTTGCCATCACTGTTGTTGGTGCTCTTATTTTTGTCATTTATGTTTCAGCCTCAAAGCGCATTGGAAAAGTTTCAGGCATTTTAGTTTAAATTTTAAAGCAATTTTTGCACATAAATCATCTTTGGGCCAAGCCCAGACCCAGGCCCAAGCAAGGGAGGGCTACTACTGCTACTGGGATGAGTTGATGGCAGGGGCTGGTGCCTCGCTGGCTTATAGCCTGAACTGCTCGTATGTCGTCCTTTGTCGTGTGACACTTTGACTGATTTCTTTGGGTTTCAGTTCGCGCTCATAAAAAATGTATGCCTGTCGCTCTTGGCGTTTGCATGTGGGCGTATAAGAAATGCACAATGTTTGCCAGATATACTAGTCGCATACGACACACACATCTCCATACATACAATTCGTATATGAGAGCAAGTCTGTAGGACTAACCAACTGTTGCTTGAACGGTGCAATCTCAAGGACAGCCCAATAGAAATTCACGAAATTTGGCTTGTGTGCATGAAAAAACCAACAAATTATTCTCATCGATAGTTCTTGAAAGGCACACAACGATAGAATATAGCAGATGAATGCTAAATATTTATCAGCCCATTTTTAAAAGGCTTTAACTTTGTGTGAATAGCCGAAAATTAATTTGCATACTTTAAACAATATTTTCTACCTCCATCTCCTAGACCTTCAATATCATTTATTTATTTATTTATTTATTTATTTAGAAAATCAACAAATAGTGCTGTCGATACATATACGAAAACTATGATTTATATTATGATATAATATTATAAAATAAAGATATTTAATAACACAACGTTATAATTTCAACTTAAAAGATAAGAAAACCTAAGAAAAAACTATACAATAACGTCTACTAATGCCTCCGACCCTTTGGGGGGAATTTTATTTGCCATTTGGCTAGCTATCCCCTGAATCACAGCCATATGTGGTCAGAGACATTATAGACCTAACAGGCCTAGTTTACAACTGTTTGTTTTACTCTGTACCTGAGAGGCATATTCATATTAGTATATTAGGTTTACACAAAGTGAATAATGCAGAAGAAGTTGTGGCAGAACTCACAAAATATATACATATATGTATTCGTAATCAGCATGACAAGACGAGTCAATTTAGATCCCAGAGTCTAGTATAAGAGCTAGATGCAACAAATTTTGCTCACACATGCGAGTTATAAAGATTCTCCATAACTCCGTATTATTGGAGTTAATTAATCCAAGTAGACTATAACTTCTGGGTAGTGCTTATACGAGTATATATGTATGTCGTATAAACGAAGTTATATTTAAATATATTATCTCCCCAAGTTCTGCCAGCAGACACGCATAGACTCGCATTAATACAATTCCTATTTAAATTTATTAAATTTATTTCTACTTAATTAAACAAAACGAAGAAATATAAAAAGTGAAATAACATCTGTTGTTTTAATACAATTTTGTACCTCTCAGGTACAGGTATAAAAGTATTATGTTTCTCCAAAGTTAAAAAAGTCGTGGAAGACCCCATAAAGTGTATATTTTCTTGATCAGCAAGAGCAGTCGATTCTCCTGAATCCTTTCGTGAATTTCCAAGGATTCCCTGATACGTTTGTACAAGTCCTAAGTGCCCTTTTACTATTATTTGTTCTGCTAAAAAATGACCAGCTTGCGTGCTTCTAGTCAAATAAAATACGGGGTTCAAATAAAGGCAAAGGCAACTGCATACACGTGCCTCGGTCGTCGTCAGTGTCGCTTTTAAACGCGATAAGGCAGCCATAGATCTGCAGTGCCATTTTACGGAATCTGAGAGTGGGTCTGAGCCTGAGACTGGCTCGTGCTGTGCGTGGGAGTATCAATTGGGCAAACAATGCCAAAGGAAATTGTTATTTGCCTTTTGTGTGAGTGTGTGTATGTAAGTGTGCATGTCTGCTTCCTGAACACGCGCCACAAACAGCATAGAGCATAAAGATATACAAATACAAGTGCCTGGGCGTTCACATGCCATTCGTGTATATGATAAACCCCACACATATGCATCTGAGCGCAAACAAATTCTGATTCCACATAGCCATAATTTGCATGCATCCAATCAACAATACATACAACAGGGACAATCAGAAGAGCATAACACATCTATAACTCTATTGTATTTGCATGTTCATATCTGAATATGGATGTGTGTTCAAATTAAGGCCTTTTTCGCATGGTTAACTGAGTTTGTAGAGGCCCCCGGCAAATCTGTTAGCCAAGTCAATACCAATTAGAATTCATTGTCTGTTGATACCAGTTGTTAATAAAGATTAAATATATATATACGAAATATAGTATTCATAGCATTACCTTTCTGAATTTTTGTGTTCGAGTAAGGGTAAAAAGCCACAATTACTTCTGCCGATTTACAATATCATTATAAAGACTAAACAAAGACATCTATGTCAGTCAAACGATAGGCACTTCAGAGTAAAGTGAAACAATCCTGTCTCAAACATACATATATTTAACTAATGGTGACTCAATTTGGCACACGTGCACACACATACACACGCTCGTATCCAAGAAGTGCACTGTAAAAATAAAACTTGTATTTAAATGAATATTTAAATGAATATATAAATATAATTGAAATATCTGATTTATTATTTATTCAAAATAAAATTTAAAATACATTTAAAAATGGACCTTGAATAGTTTGCACAAATAAAAGTCTAGGTGTTAGTGAGAGACTGCCTTTAAATTCCAAAAAGATGTAAGGGTTCTTCCACTTCATTGAACAAAGGTATAAGTATTTTGTACAAACTGCTCTGCAGATTTTTGAATAGGTTCATAAAATTATTAATACGCAGATTCCGTTTGCCAGGCTCGAGATCAGGAATACATTGAATTGCTGGTTTGTCGTTTTCTTTATAAGAATTTAAAAACGTAATTTCTTAACATACAAGCATTAAATAAGCTTGTCATTTTTTAACATCAGAGTCAATCAGTTATTTTAATTTTTAAAAACTGTCAATGAACATTTTGAGAATTCACTGAAATGTGCAGGGAGACGGTTGCTATTGTAATCGTTTTTTTCCAAACATGAACTTAAAATTGTAGTATTTTTCTCGGTGTTTTAGCGTCAAGCACTCGTGAAAAAGGCATATCCCGATTTACTAGCAACCGCAAGTGTAATGAGGTTTTTGGGGCCCACAAAACGTTGACACGAAGGCAATAAGCATAATAACAACACAGCCTCAGCGCACACAGGTAGCAAAGCGTAAAGCATGTCAACATAGGCGTAAAGTGTTTTGTGGGCTCTGTCGAGGCGTAAGGCAAACCAATCTGCATAACAATGAGATGGGCGGACAGGCTAAGAACATGCCTAAATTCGTTACAACTTTTGCGCGCTGAAAACTATAAACAGTATGGCCATAAGTGTTGTTACTCGTGTAGATGTTGCTGTTGCTATTATTATCGTATGAGTGATTCGGCCATTATGCATTTACATTTACACGCTTAATCACTTGACGTTCATACTATACAAGTAAAAGTTATGCAAAGCGCGAAACGCCACATCGACAATGAAGCCAAATGCTTCAAACTAATAATCGCATACGCTGTTACGTACTCGTCGCTATTGTGCATAATACATGGCGTATGAGTGATGAGCCATGATGCGACGCACGTGCCACTTCGCCTTCAACATAATAGCCAACGTGAGGCACACGTGTGTGTGTGTGTGGGTGGGTGTGTGTGTGGGTGGATCAGTACCTTACCGACAGGCGAATGAAAAGTAACCGCAAATTTGTGCTTGTTGGCTGTCAATTTGTTTATTTGTACGTATATATGTGTTCGTATATGCCCATTGCTGGCATCAATCATTTCATTTGTAGCGACAGCCCGCAAAAGTATGCACCAGAATTGGGAACGGCAGAAAAATTACGCATACGCCACAATTAAAATACATTAAGCATACATGAACACACACCTTTGTATACATGTGCAGTGGCAATAATTGCTTTTGTATTTATTTGCAGGTGGCAGGCAGAGGAGTTGTGTCACGACGATTTATCAGGTAAATTGTGAAATTTTAATTACATTTCATTCAAACACATAAATACACGAACGCGCATATGTGTGTATGTACATATGTGTGCGGTGGTCGTGCTATGAAATTTACCATTTGGATGTGAAAACTAAATTCGATTGAGGAAATTTTCAAATTATTTTAGCATTTCGATGCAAGTCAACTTATACGAATTGGATTTAGTTTTAAAATAAAATAAAACGTTAGCGCAAAATTTTTCGGTCTGCCTAATCAAAAATCCATATTTACGTAAATTAATAAATGACAAACGAATTGACACGAACTGACAATTATACAATACTAATGGTTTAAAGACTTTAACAGAGTTATCTAGCCATGGAAATTCCTAAAATAATAAAAACTCAACCAATAGATGCACAAATTTAACTGTTGTGATAAGACATCGATTAATTGACGAAGGAAAAGATCAAAGACAAGTGGTTTTTTATATTCGTAGGAGAATGAAATCGAAATACTAATCATGTCATAAACGATTTATTCATAATAAACATATGACAATAATATTCAATTTACTTAAAGCCATATAAGACCACAATAAAATTAATTGTGTTCTATACTATTGTGACAGACCATTATTGAAATTTGTTTTGTTTTGCTTAATAATTTATCAATAATTATTGACTTGCAATTTATCTGTAACATTTGCGAGCGTCCACTGCATACATGTGTCTGTATATATTTATGTATGTGGTGCATATTTAGACAAAAATACAAACACACAAATCACAACTTTGCATGCTAGAGTAAATTTAAAAGTAACTAAACACTTAGTAACAACATTCTCAATATAATTTCGTGCAACTACAATAAGAATATGGCGATGCATACTCTAAGAACGGATATTTTTCGAAAAGCAATTCAAATATTAATAGACACACGAATATACACACAAAACAAAGCACCCAAAAATAATACACCATAATTTAGTCGGTAATTTTTTTGCTCGGTAATATATACAAGTATAAAAAGTATCCATCTATCACAAACTGTAAATGTAATGTGTCTTTCTACCTTTGCTCTCTGCCTACGGTTCTCTCTCTATCTTTCTCTCTCTTCAATTCTATCTTTTGTCACACTGTCTAACTTAACAGCGCACTAAGTAAATGTGATATGAGAAGTGCAATGACGCCAGGTGCTCATTAAAATTAACAAGACACCCACAAAAAGAAGGCAAGATAGCGCCACCCACAAGCGCTAATTAAGCCAGCGCGCGCAAGGAACGACACGAAATACAAAACTACAAAACCTCTGTAACTGTAAAATTTTGGATACTGGAATACACGCTGAAAACCAACGAGCGAAGACGGTAGATTAAGCGTGAAAAGGAGCAGTGCCATTGAAATGGCGCCGTTCAAACTCAAATTCCGCATGGGTAGCTCGCGCAGTACATCGCAAGAACATGATCCGGATCCGCAGGTGAATGAGGCCCTACTCGGCGCACAGCATCAGGAACAGCAGCAACAACAGCAGCAGAAGCAACTACAGCAGCAGGCGGGTGTGGCCATGGGAGCCAGCAGCTCAACCATTGATTCCACAGATTGCAACAGTCTCGGTTCGATGGGCAACAATGCGAGCGAACGGAAGCTGCTCCTACCAAACAAAACAGCAATGAATAGCAACAGTTTGCGTTTGGGTAAGAATAGGCCGTAGAATTTTGAATTTACCATAAACATACGCACACAGACACGAGCACTCACGCACACACACACACACACACACACACACACACAATGTGACAAGGCACACGTAGACATGGCGGTTGATTAATGTGTGGCCTCTGCTGCATACTTTTAGGCATGCACGTGAAGTTGCAGGCGCAGCACAGCTCGCGTTGCTCTTGTCTCTTCTGCATGTGGATGTGCGTATGAGAGTGTGGTATTTAGCTAATTAATCCGTGCTTCAATTTAGTTTACTTTAATGCATGACTGCACAATTAGAAGCTCATTAGTTCCAATTGCAGCTCTATTGGCAATTAGACAAATGTTGCTTGCTCGTTTGTCTCTCGTCTATCTGTGATATTATATTTTCCTATTCTTCTTTCACAATTATTATTACCGTACATAACTTCGATATTGGCTGCGTTGTCAGCCCTCTTTTTATAAACACCATAATGCATAATGCACATTGTGCGGATTGCTCAAATATTTACTCACTTACGATGATGTATTTCATAGCTCGGAGCGTGCATGCCTGATTTCCTATCACAAAGAGAAATACATCAACAAAAATATACTCATCACCAAAAACTTAAATAAACTTAGTGCTAATCCTAATGACAACACAAATAGCATTCCCACAGATTGACTGCTGCATTCAAATAAACCTTAAATCTTGCAGGATACATAAACCAGGGACGCACGCCGTGCATCAACGAATCGCCAACAGATACCGACACGTTGCCCACAACACCGCCCCCATCCTACGAACATGTCCTAGAGGAGGTATGTAACAATATCTAAAAGTAGGAATGGGCCAGCAACTTGATGGTAACAGAAAATCTTAAAGTGAAACTGCGATTATGTACGAATATATTTTTGAATGTGATCACATTTATATTCCAAGACAAACAAAGAAAAAGATAAATGCTCTACCATAAAATACTCTACCATTATACCGAAAGAGAATTCACTGCTGATCAGCACCCTTAACAAAATTAGAATGAAACAAGAGCTCCAATTGAGCAACAAATAAAACAAATTCCTGCAGCTCGAAGTATAGTACTGCAGTGATATTGTTCGGCTAATAATTTCTTTTAATATGATCTGACTTTTATTAAATTTAAAAATAGATAGACAATTAGGTACAAAATATGCTTACTTAGTTTTATTTACGAAATTCAAAGAAGAGACGGGGTGAAATGCAAAAAATAAAATAGATAAATCGCAATCTCGAAACTGGGAAAGCCTTCATACCAAGTTTGTTTAATGTCCAGGTGCTAATCCAGACAGACAGAGAGACAGACATATCTAGATCGATTTGTCTCATCATGCTGATAAAGAATGTACATAATTGTAGATAATTTACCCTTCGGGTAGAGGGTATAAAAGGAGAAGGATGAAGTATTAAATAAAAATTGGATTGTCCCACAGTTTCTTGCAATGCTTACTTACACGAGTTTGTTGGCCCAGGTAATACAAAATATACAGCAGTATTTGTTGATTTGGTTAGGTTTTAGAGAAATTTATTAAAAATCAAACATTAAAGTTCGATATTCTTTTCTCAGATGCTTTGTATAATTAGGGAAAAAAGGAAACCAACTCAATGACCTATTTAAATAAACCTATTCATATTTTATGAAATTAAAATTGTATCTTTTGTATACTCAACAAAAGTATTGTAAAAAGTATTTAAAAAAAAAAAATGTTTTGAGCAGTAGTATTGTATTTTATTTGTTTGCGAGTATTGGTTTTAAGACTGTCGTTCCGTCAACTGAGATAGAAAAATGAAATAAATTGCAGGAATACGCTAATCAATTAAGCTGTGTACCATAATAACACACTTAACTAATACATGGTCGCTTTATTTTGTTTTTTTTTTTTTTTTGTCATCTTTGGCTTATACACATACGTGCAATAAATTAAATACATTTGCTTTCGGACACATATTCACGCATATATTAAGTAGAAACGTCGGCGGCAACTTATCTGATTGAATCTCTATTTTCGCAGAATACGCGCCTCTCGCAACACCAACGGCAATTGTCCTCGGATAGTGCCACTCCCAACCAGAATAGTCGCCGCAGTTCCGCAAACAGTTCGCGGCATAGCGTCAATTTAAGTGTCGCCCTGGAGCAGCTCGCCTTAAATGCCGGCGCGGGCAACAACGCTGCCTCGAACATTTGCAACGATCCGGACTGTCAACAGAACTACAACAGCTGCACCGCCGCCCCTGGTGCCGCAGGCGGTAATCAGCACAACAACAATAACGGCGAGGGGCAGATCATCGAAGGTGTTACCGAAGTGGAGGTTCCTAGCGATAACGAATACGACATCGATTGCAACGAACGAGTCACGGTCAGTGTAAACGAGTTCCTGTTGGAAACTGAAATGGCGGCATCTTCCAGAGAGGAGGACAAGCTCTATGACGACTGTAGGAATGAGCAGTGCACAGATGCGGAGTGTGCTCAGTGCAGTGAGGATGCTGGGGAGGGTGGGGAGGCGAGCACCAGCAGCGGTGTGCGTCCCAGCTTCTATGATCCGTTGCTAAATCGGGACAGCTATGACAACTACAACGAGGGTACGAACGGTCGATATATTGAACCCTAAAAGTAAAGTTTTAAAATGTATATTGTCCTATTCAGCAGGAAACTTAGGTGGCGGATCGCCAAACAATGGCCAGGCCTGCAACGAACCATGTTGCACGTCTGCATCCTCTTCGTCACGGTCACGCCGACGTCAGCAGCAGAATTGTCACAGCAGCCTGCTCTCCCCGGAGCTAATGAGCAACAAAACCTCGAAAGAGATCTACAAGGATCTGGCCAAGCAATGGGGCATTACATGCAAAATGTCTGAAAGCTGTCGCTGCATGGACTGCCAAAGCCACTACTTCGATTGTGACTTCGATGATGTAAGTACGAACTGCAGGAACTATAATTCTAGCAATATTATTTTGACATCAAATACAGACGGACATATACTACTTGTATGTACGTACATATATACTATATAAGTGTATAGTATGTCTCTATACAAACAAGTTGAAGATAAAAACGATTAACGTACTTATGATTTTTATAGCCTGTTCCTATTCGAAAATTCATAATCAAAAAATATAATTAGTTGACACCTGTGTTTTCCTGCAACCTGGTTCAAATGGATGTTACGATAGACCATGCATTTTTTAAGAAGCTGACAATCTCCTTTTCCATTTTTGTAGTCTAGTCGAGGTAGTTGTTTGGAGGGTTTTGAAGTTGGCGCCTAACGGAGACAAGCAAATGAGACTTATAGACTGGCAGCACGTGAGGAGTTGAACTGAAGACTGTGTTAGAAGATAAAACATGCAAATATACAAGTATAATATAAAAAAGTACATATAACTTAATTAAAGATTCTTTAAATTTGCCTTAGCACTCGATGTTGTGCTCTTTCATAATCTTTCTGTGTGTCCACATGTGTCGCATCACAAATTCAAATCAGTGCTCTAATTACTAATTACTAAGTGACTGTGTAGTTTAATAAATGTTTAGTTAAGACTAAACTTATTAAATAAATATATTTATTTATTCTTATTGGGTTGGCTTTGGCATTTACAGAATGAACATCAGAAAACGGATGGTGGACTGGGAGCTGGCACGCCCATGTTTATAAGCGAGGTTATGCACGGATCCGCCTGCAACATATTATAAAGGATAGCAGTTGTATGTATGTATAGTATGATATGTAATAGCCTGTTGGAGAAAAAAGTTTGCTGAACAAAAATATAATGTCTGTATGTAGTTGCAAACTCATTTACTACTATATTTATGTATTCAAGAAAAGCCAAATGCGACAAGAACAAAAAAGTTATAGACGAAATCGAGATAGGAGCATACATATAGTATTTGTGTATGTGTTATATCTAAATATATTAGTTACCTACAAAATTGAGATGTAATTAGCACTGAATTCATATTTGAGATAACATGCACTGCGTAGTCTTTAGCAAAGAAGTCAACAATTAATGAGATGAAAAATATGTATTTAGAAATAAATTTGTGCAGCCATAAAAGGCTTTAAAAAAATACACACAAATCCAAAACGAAACCAACACTTGTTATATTTTTGGTGTTCTAAATAGGCTTAATATGTGCATTATAAACGAAAAAATATCGCATATGAATTGGTATGTATATTTTTGAAGAGTTAATTCTGATAGTCTTGAAGTACATATTTTGAAAAGTAAAAACACTCTTTGCTATTAGAATTTTAAATTGGCACAAGTAATATTCGAATTGTTCTTGGCTATGACGAATTACAACGTCATCTTTCAGACACACTAAGTGAAAATTGTGTAAATTGTAATCTGTAGTGCACAGATTTAAGAGATAATATTAATATTGATAGCCCACCTTTTCGCAAAACAAAACATTTACAACAATCCTTGAATATATAGTTTTGTCATGTGCATGTACAGCCAAAGGAAATTATCTACACTTCAGTAAACAAATGTCTATTTGCTAATAGAATGAGTCAAATTATAAATCTATACAAATACTTATGTACGAGTATAACATGCTACTGCACGTACTCTTGGTAAAATGTCTCTTAAACAATGCTATACTAAATCCTTAACTTTATACATATACAAGTATATAATCTAACTGTATATTGGATTTAATTTGAAAATGTGAGCTTATACCACAAAATTCATTTGAAGAAGTCACTGGTAACTAGCAGCATCAATTTGTTGCTAAAAGTTAAGCATTTAAGTGTTTACTAGCTGGCAGATGGGACAATGTACATTAGTATTGAACAAGCTGAGAGGCATTCCTGTGCCCTAGGATAACGTAGTTATAGTTTAGAATCGACATTAACATTAATACCAACTTGTACGAGTACTACATAGAACATATTTATTGTAGAACGATTTAGTTTAAGCAATTCGATGTAAAGGACAGTTGAACAGCACTTTTGTGCGCAAGGAATCTGAGCTGCAAGGAGCAATCGATGCAAAAACTGAAAGTCTAGCACTCCAAAGGCGAAACGAAGTTAACTTTTATTATAAATGAAATTTTTTTATTTTATAACTGAAATTGTATTTGTTGTACCAAGCGCAGGTTGCTCTTAGCCCAACGCGTGTAAACTTAGTCTGATATATTTTTTGCCTAGTATGGAGAATTCGGAGAATTGTTTTCATGCTTCTCAATCCTTTATTTGCTATACCTTTTAGATTAACTTACAAAGGAGTTTCAAATGCATGAACCCCTTTAGATGTTAAGCATATGTATGTACGAGTATTCTTATTGGAACATACCCTATACATAGTACTAGAAGCGGCAACTTAAATGCTCTTAATATTAAACAATGTTTAGTATTATAAAACAAGCGGGTTTCATTCGTAAACGAAGCAAATAAACTCACACATAACCACAAAAAAGTGTACTCAACTATATGGCTTATTGTCTACAAATGAAAATTCGGAATAATGATAATAATGTCATTGTCCTGCTTATACTAATTATGTAACGTAAAATGCAAAACGACTAAGTCTGTTAGCCGTTAGATTTTATTAGTGCATATGATGTGTAGTATGTATGCTTATGTATGATTAAGTGACTAATCTAAAATACATGAAAAATCTCTCAAAGGTAACTGAAGCATATACTAGTACACTAGTACATACGAGTATGTACGTTTGTATTGAACAATAGCTCCCATACAAGTATTTGGGGTTTGTGTAATCGAACAATAAGTCGGTTTGACTTATATAAACTACATACATACATACATATGTACATATATGCGATAATATCGTTTGTGGCATTAACAATCAGTTTTAATCGCCAACTCACTCAGACTTTTAAGATTGAATGATGTGACAGGCGATACGCATCCAAAATAATCAGGAAAGTTCCGATTTTTTACTTCCCGAATTCACTTTAAATACCCACTACTTGATCGGAATGAGTTACATAACCAGAAAGTATACCAATTCTATAACATCCCCGGAATTCTTTAATGAAAAAGTTGCAGCCAGAGCCTACCGGAATATTCATTTATTAATAAAAAACAATAAGCAAACACAATAGTACTCAGAAAAAATATATAAATTTATATACAGTGCGTTATATTTAGCTTGCAGTTTTATTCTCGTCGCCATGATCCTGAAATGGGAGGAAAAAGTAAATATATCTTATGCGCTTTCTACCTACTAATGGGAAGATTTGGCCGGTATTTTCGCATAAATTCGGATACGAGGCACTGGGAAGCGATTTCCATTCGTCGCATTGACTTGCTGCTGTTCCCGCTTTGTACATGTAAGAATAAGCTATGTTCGTATAATCATAGTGACAGGTGAAAAAGTGGCAATAGCTTGAGACAATATGTAGGGTTTGTTAACATTGTTACAGTGGCTTAAAACGCTTCCCTTACCCTTCCTCATTTTTGTTTTTGCTACATCTCGTGGCCGTGGCAATGCCACAGCCGACTCGAGATAGCCGATCATTTCCTATGCAGGAAAAATGTGCCACGCTATAATCGCTAGAGTGAAAAGGAATTTGTTTACCATACCATTTACCATATGCACAATTATCTGATTCACCTTAATGGGTCGAAGAAGTCGACAATCCTGTCAGGATCCTCCACAGCTAGAAATTCATCGAACATGACCCGCAACGTCAAATTCAGTATATCCTCAATTTTCCTCGGCTCGGAACTCACACCAACCAAGCCCAGTGACTCGCCAGTCATGGGAAAACGTGAGACGCTGCGGCATTCGGAATGCTTGAATGAGACGGTGGAGGCGTGCATTCGGGCCGTATACGCCAATTCTTCATCCCAGATCAGAGCCCGCATTCGAGCGGCACTTTTGAAGCTCTTGTTCGAATTGGTCAACAGTTCACCGGAGGCCAACTCATCACGAAAACGATTAAAATAGTCGAGAATGGTTCGTCTCAATCGCATTGTTTCAGGTAAGGTGGTCACGTATCGTGCCGTGTTGAAGAGCGGCTTCTGAGGAGAAATGTTCCGGAAAATGTTTCAACTACTGGATGAGCGAACTTACGAACTCGGTTTCTTTGCGACATATGAAATGCTTCAAGCCAGCCTTGTCGCAGGTATGGCTCTTATTGGAGCAGTAGTTGTAGCCGCTGGTGCATCCCAAGTTCACACTTAGGCCCAGAAGCAGTGTAATCCAATAATCGATCATGCTTTCAGAATTTATTTTACTTACAATTTAGGTAGATTTGTTTTAAGAATTTGACAGCGCACTAATTTGCCACTTCAATACAACTCCCTTTATTTTTGTTTGGATAAAGGTGTTTTCAATATGTTGAGAAAAGTTGTCGCAACTGGATCTGGGTTTATGTTGCAAATATAAAAAACACAACGTCTATGTCGTTTTACAAAATTTATTTACGTTTTTTTTTATTGTTTAGCTAATTTGAATTTTATATTGGGAATTTTAGGAAGATCTTGTCTATAAATTCATTTTTAGTAGTATGCGATACAATTTTAAGAAATTCTCGTTTTGTTGTTATTTATAAACATGTAAAATGCTGTAAACGTTTTTTCAATGACTTTTGTTGATTGTTATTGTAATTTATATTTTGAACTGATTACAATTTAAGATTTTCTATGTACAAAGGCATTTTGGGGGCCCAAAATATATCAACAAATAAATAAATATCAATAGATAGGTATGTATGTATCCTTTTCACAATCAAGATACAAACAAAAAAGGTACCTGATTTATTGTTTATTATCATTTATAAAAATATTTGCTTCTCACATGCGACTTTAAGGCGAAGCATTTTTGTTACTCACTAACAATTTATTTAACAATCTACAAACAGATCCATTTGGATGCTGTAGGTGCGGCAGAGCATGGGCGTTGGGCATGGCTAGGTTGGGTGCACTTTTCGATTGTGGCAAAACCAATAAAAATCATGCTCTATACTCTTCACGTTTTGCGATAACAACTAAGGATGCGCTGTGGTGCAGTTTTGGGATGGTTCTTGAACTCTACTTGATAACATTAATTAAAAAAATTCTGGGGGTTGGGGCATTTTAAAATGGTTCTCTTTGTTTCAATGTCTGTAAAGCATATTCAACTGCTTATAATTATTGATTACTTTTGATAGAAATATATTCGAAATTGTAAGTAAACAACCCGTATTATTTTTTCATATCTTACTCGTAAATAGGTATATTGAAATTTAAAAAATATTGAGCTCGATTGTTCGTATCTATGGTATATCTCATGGTAAGGTATACCTACAGCATTGTTTTTCTTTCTGTTTGGTTTGACAAGTTGAAATAGTCATGCTTATGGTTATAACGTACGCTGTATAATGCATATATGAAAAGATCGGTACTTTTTCTTACTATTTAAAACTATGTAATATAAAATATATACGCGCGTAATAAATATATTTATATTATTTCACAATGTACTTTTAGCTACGTTTTTTAAAGGTATATATAATAATTATCAGCTGTTTGATGGTTGCCTCAACAATCCAGAATTTTGCACACTCTGTCTTGTGCTTGCTGCTCGCTCTCAATGCATCTTTCACACAACACGAAAAAACTAAATTAAATACTAAATTTAAACATACGATTTACAGGGAGGCACATAACTTGAAACAGACCGATGAAATCGGAGTAACGATATACAGCATTGAAACAATCTAAATCTAATTAAAGCATGTGTATACAGGTGTTTGTGTGTGTGTGTGTGTGTGTGTGTGTGTCTGTATGTTTACTATTAACAGAAGCCACTAAATAAAATACATATTTACAAATAGGCCAAACCCATATAGCATTGGTTTACGTAACAAAAGCTAAGCTAAGGTTTTCAATTCTGAATTGTATTGTATGGTAGTGTCTGTGTGGTGTTGGTGTTGGTATTGGTGTTGTTTTTACGCTATGCGACTAGACCTTATAGACATGCACTGTTGCAGCATCGTATAAAAATATATCCAACTCTATACTGCTTATATCACTTGCAGGTGAATGGTACAGTTCGCCAAAGTTTCATTCATTCCTTCATTTACATACATACACTCACATACAAGTAAAAAGGTATATGTGTACATGTTTGTTCTTGTAGATCTTCAATAACAACAGGTGAGCGCAATCTTGACTACACACACGTGGAGGATGCGTGTGAAACGCTGGCCGCCGCCTCCAAATTGAAATCCTTGCTGCGACAGCACATCTCGCAAATGCGCTTTGTATCGGGATTAAGGAACGTGCAGAAACGACAACTCCACTCGTTGGGGCTTGTCACAATAAGCTGCGTGGAAACGGGCGGCGGGTGCTTGGAGGTAGGATTGTTACTACTTCCGCGGCTCCGTCCGGCCTGCGTGCCCGGTCTATTGTCTACAGTCGCATTTTTTAAAGCGGATTTAACTTTTTTAACAGTACCCGTAGTGTTGTTGGTGCTGGTGATGTTGCCTCCTGCTACGGCTATTGTTGTTGTTGCTGCGGAAGGTGTAGATACTTTTGCCATCTTTGTGGGTTCGGGTGCCGGTTTTGGATCACGTTTGCTGCTCGGCTTCTCCAGCGTACGCGACTTTTCGCCATTGTGCTGTGTGGTGCGCCCCGACTTGCCATCCAAGTGTGAGGAGCGCCGCTTGTCTGCATTATTTCCCATGCCATTCGCCAGCGTCAACGAGTCCAGATCCAAGCTCTGCACAAGCAAGTCCTCACGATCACCTAAGTCTTTGGAGTAACCGGAACGCTCGAGATTCTTAAACACATAGTTCCACGACTCGAAGCTTCCCACGCCCTCTTTAACTTTGGGCAACGCCACAAAATCATCCAAGCTGGCCGACTCATAGCTGGTAACATCGGAACTATCACGTCCGATGTTCACTATCGGCACTTGACGTCGACCACGTCCCTCCAATGGCGCCGTAGAATATGTACGTTCTTTCAATTCCTTGTGCATTTTGCGATTATTGTCCCCGGAGTCCTGCCATGCAGAAGGAAGCGCACGAAATAATTTAATAAATGAAATGTGAATATTATTCTACTTGATATGAACATGAATAGGATTCTTAGCTTATCGAGACACTCACCAGCATTGGCTCCAAATTCCTAGCATATTTTTCAGTCAGGTTGCCGGTGCCTCCCGCCTCGGCCAATGCACGCATGCGACTGCTCTTGGGGACGGGCCGTGCATAGATGTACGAGTCCTGCTGAGGCGGTTGCGGCAGGGTGGCGGGAAGATTGGCAGGCACATCGTACCCATAGGGCAACTCCCGAGGCTGTGCGGGTGCGTACATCCTGTCCCGCTGATAGTCATACTCGTGCGCTGCAAAGTCGTTCTTCGTCAACTGGGCGCGATCATCAAAATCAATTAGATGGTGATCTGGCGGATACGCGCTCTGTCTGTACTGCATGACAGCGGCAGCATCAGGAACAGCGGCCCCAGGGCGCACCGACTGCATTCCATGATAGTTGCAGGTGTGTGCTGTAGGTTTGCCAATTGTTGCATAAACGTTTTGCTCAACATTGGCAAAGCCATCGGCGGGTATGGCATATTGTGCGTTCAGTTGATTGGAGATGTTAAAGGGTAGCGGATAACGATTCCCGGGAGCATTGTAAGGATGTGCATAGGCGTTGTTGTAGCCACCGCCGACGGCTGTTCCTGCCACAGCAGCATAGGAGGCACTGCTGCCCATGCTAATGTCGTCCAGGCAATCGTATGGCGTCTCATATAGATGCGGATGCAGTGGCGCATGATGCCCGCCCAAACAGCCATGTTGTTGATGGTCCAAGGAGTGGCGATGCGCAGGCGGTGCGTGTGGCTCGTTGTAGTGCTCCAGACTGCGAGAGTGTGTCATCGGCTGCTGCTGGTGCGAATGCTGGGTATGGGGCTGGTTGGAATAAGGCGGTAGGAACTTGGCAGGGTCATTGCACATGAGATTTGGTGGCGGGCCATTGGGATGCAGAGCGCACGGGTTAACACTGGAACTATTCATATTGGCATTGCCATGCAACGCACAAGGCGTTGTCGATGCCGCTGTCCCCGTTGCAGCAGAGGGCACACTTTTCGACAACTGCTGATGATAGGGCGCGCATCTATCACAACGATTGATGCTAGCTGGTAGAGTGGCCACATTGCTGTAAGTGTTCTCCGTGTTCAGAGGCTTTTCCTGGCGCAGGCGCTTTTCGTGCAGTTTGTAGCCCAGCTCCTTGATGGATTGTGTGGTGCCGCCAACGTGTCGCTCACGATAGAGGAAAATGTCCAGCCAAGAGCAAGTGAAACCAGCCGCCGCAAGACCCGCATAAATGTGCTTCATGATCTGACATTCCACGTAGGCGGCCATCGCATCACGGGAAACGTTCGTCACCTGATCGGGGCAAATGGGTCCGTCCAGCACAAAGGTATCCTCTGCAGTGCGTCGATAGCCCATGGCAATAAAAAGTTTATCCGCATCCAACAGATTCGACTTAACCTCATGCTGAAACGTGCCAGAGTAGGTCTGCAAACAAAATGCATATAGTAATTAGTTATTTAATAGTTAAGGGATGCCTTCATTTTTATACTTCCTGACCAACTAAATGTAACAACCCAGTAGTGCTCGAAATATTAAGATAAATTAAAAGATATTATTTTAAATACGTGTTCAGACATGTATATTCATATTTCAATACGGGTATAATTCGGTATTTCTCTTACTTCCGATTGATCCGCTCATATTGCGTTATCTACATACGTGTATATATAAAACAAAATCTGCATTTTATATCCGATCAATTCATACTTTCAGAAAGAATACAAAATAAACTAATAAACTGTAAACTAGGTTTGTGCAAATCTTTCTTGAAGCCTAATTTGTTGTTTTTCCAGTGGAAAATTTTGAGAACGATGTCTTTTGTGCTGTGAGCAAGAAGCAGTAGTTTTGGAAAATTCCAATTATAAACGGTGGAAAACGGGGTTAAAATGTTTTATGAAAAATATATTTTTTTCATCCGATTAATCTAAAACTTGGTTTGTATACTCTAAGAAAACATGCAAATGCATAGTGTGTTTTTGCACTAGGAAATGGGATACAAAAAATGACTTACAATTGAGAAAACTCGTTAATCTACTACTCTACTTCATAAATTTGATTGGTTTTTTTGATTTTTTTTTTTGGAAAACGCGTATCTACATAATAACAATGTTATTTAATGTAAGCCCTGCATAAAGTAAACATTTTCTTCCTTTTGTTTTTTTTGCACTCGCAGTAATTAAATTGAAAAAGATCCTTAAGATATAAATATGTGTATGTGTACATACAAGTATACTTGTATGTACATACATGTATGAAGTAGTAAGGCATCTTGAAGTAATGGCATAATGAATATACACGTAATTCTGTTTTTACACGGTAGATTGGTTCCAGAAACATCCGTGGAAAAAAATACATTGATCATGTGAAAAATAGGTGATTGGTTCCTTATCTCTAAAGAAATATATATTAAATTTTTAGCTTTTAAACCGTGTTATATCAAAGTCGTGTAAAAACAGAATATTTAGATAAATCATTTTGTAAGGTCTGATTGTTGATTGTAAATCAACCAAGAGTCTAAAATCTGAACTAAACATTTTATCTATCATTCAGATTCAAAGTTTGTATGCGAAGATTAATTTTTGATTCCATCGATTTCAAAGTGGGTTTTTAAACTCTACAAGTATATTGCTAACAACCCTATATATATTGAAATGCATTTGCAATTAGCAATTTAGCAATCTACAAACACAGAAGCACGACCGATTTGTCCTTTCATATTCAAATCATTTCACGTTGAATTAAAAACACCAAATAGTTCTGAATTGTTAAATAAGTCGGATGTCGCCAAGAATACAACATCTACGAGCATGTCATCTAATATGCTTCTAGTATATACGTCCGTGTAGGTGTATTATGTGGGGTTACCTTGAGCACACGAAATTCTTTGCGCCAGGGTTTGGTGAACAAATTGTTGGCATATTGACTGATAGTTTCAAAACCAACAATGGCCTTCTGTGCCGTAAAATCATCCATCTCGCGTACTGATTTGCGCAACACATGCCCCGTCTCGGGCAGGAAGAACTTTCGATCATGGGGCACAACGCAGAGGAACTCTTTCAGACAGCCTGCAAAGGAGGACACACGTAAAAAATATACAAGTATTTAATGATGGATTATATATATGTATATCCTTACCTTCTAGCTTCTTGCGCTCCTCCAGCTTTTGAATGCTCTCCTCCGTCTCCAGAAACGTCCAGTGCCGCCGCAGTATCTCCTCCCATAGATCGGGCAATATGTCGCAAGGAACAAAGTCCGACATTTTGGCGTAAGCGTCCTAACGTCAAGGCCTTTCATTCAACGATTCTGCAAGTGACAGGAGGGCAAAAAAGAAAAAGAAATTATAACAACAAAAATCAGCACAAGGTCGACCAGGAAGAGCTAACAGGATATTAGAGTGTCTCCTCGTGTTCGTGTCAATCACATAGCCTTGGCTGCTGTTTCTGGCCAAGATGCATGTCAAGCAGCCCAACCGAAACAATGAAACTATTTTTGAAGAAGCTAAATACGACCATGCGAACAAACATACATACATATATACATATGTATGTACGAGTATGTGTATGTCAGCCTTGAATCTGTTGCTGGCTATTGATTTTTTACAATGCGGGTACGCACGGAGGAAAGGATGAGAAGGGGTGCAAGGTCCTGCAATTACATTTGCTGCTCATGTGTAGCATAAAAGTTACTCAAAATCGTTTAAGATGTGTACACGTACCTCCTCACAATCTAAATGCAAATATGCGCTTCACTCCCTACCAAGAAGCATTTCGACTCTCTGGCTGCCGAGTGCACTTGTTTCCCTGTATGAATCAGCACCTTTATCCGACATGACGCACGTTCCTATCTGCCCCACAAACGCACAAGTATACTCTACAAACATCCATACACGCTACATAGATACATACATACATATATGGAAAGAAATGTATGTACTTGTATGTATGCTTGTACGTATAATGAAGCAGTCTTGTTCCGTGGCAAACAATGAGCAATATTTCCCGTTGACTCTATGCATGTTGCTGGTTATTATACAAGTAGATGTACATACATATGTATATAGTAAGTGCCTATGTACATACATATATGACACGTATGCATGCATACATACTTACATGCTCATATGTATGTATGTATATTGTTGCTGTTGCTATCGATAACATTCAATAGATGGTGCTAGTTGAGTATGCTCCACCATTCCTTATCAGCTTCGACCGGTCGAGAGCAACAACAATAGTTGGCATGTCTGATTAAATTTATTTAGACAAAGCAACAAACCCGCACACAGAGTCGAGTATAAGCTACAGATACATATACAGATATGTACATACATATCTACAGTACGTATACATGCATTCCTACACATACGTTCATAATATAATATCAATTGAAATTACGGCACAAAATGAATCATCGACAGTTATTGTCGAGCCGCAACTTTTTTGGACAGAGACAATACTAATGCAGTTGGGAACATTTCAGCTGATTTGTGATTAATATAATATTATTCTATACCCATGTTAATTAGCAAGTTGAACCTAGAAACAAAAGTCAGATAAGCAATAAAGATAAAATGTTTACGGCGGACTGAGTGCATTTCATTTGTCATTTTTAGAAGAACATCAAGATCGAAATCCGATAAGTCCGCGGTTACCAGTTTTATAATTAATATTGGATTATAATATTATATGCAATTTGAAAAGGTTTATTAGGTTTGTGCAAGCCCACAAAGGTTCTACACCTTAAAAATGAGCATGATGAGCCAAATCGATCTAGACATGCCCGTCTGTCTGTTTGAATGCAAGCAACTCAGAATGCATGAGAGCTAGGATCATCAAACTTGGTATTCATAACCCTTTAAGCCCTAGACAGGTCAAGCTAGTTTAGTATACTCTGTACCTAAAAGGTACAACAGGAAAAAGGAGGCGTAGCAGAACCCAGAAGACACATATTATATTAATCTACATGACGAGACTAGTCGAACTAGCCCAGTCTGTCTGTCTATCCATCTGTCTGTTTGTATGAACACCTGGGTCTCAGAGACTATAAGAGATATAGAGACAACATTTTGTACATAGATGCCTCATGTGTATACGCAGTACGAGTTGGTTTTATTCACACTCCATCGTCGCCGTTTGTATGATCATATTTGGAGACTATAACAGCTATATATACTAAATTTTAGTCCAAGATCCAGATACCCATTTTTTCCTGATGAACACCCAGATCTCAGAGACTATAAAAGCTAGAGACACAATATTTTGCAATAAAAATTTCAATTTTAGCTTTTATTCATTTTAATGAGCAGATAAAATCCTGCAGTTTGGAATCTCTTTTTCTCTACATGTTAATTGCAAAGTTTTCTTTGATGACGGAAAACTATTTATGTGGCAAAAATGTGTAATAAATTATGTGAAGGTATAAAAAGGAATAGATTCCAATTGGTTTGTTTATGGGCTGTGTGAATCGTTTTCGCTGTTAAGTGTAAATGTACATCAACAACAACAGCAATAATAACGACAACAGTGGAATCCAATCTGAAAGTCAAGTTGTGCAAGTGGCCAAGAAGGTAGGGTCGGAAACACAAAACGGCGTCGAAATGCGCTCAAGAATAGAAAAGTAAATTTGCTGTAGTAGTTTTTTTCCGAGTCTTGTGCTACAATTGTTGTTTTTTCCGTGCGATTACAGGAGAGCATAAACTAGTTGAAAGCAAAGTTGAAGAATGTTTATATTTACTAAAAATGCTGTCAAGCGAAAAGAAAATCACAACGACTTGCTGGCAACATGGAGACTCGACCAGCGTGGAGCTGCAATAAAGCTGTTTTGGGTTGGAAAATACCTGCACACTGTATGGACATGTGGCAAATGGAATTCTTGTCGGGGTAGGGTTGCGGCTACGAGTCTTTGTCATCCACATGCTGATGCAGGGCAGTTGTTTGTTGACTGTTAACAACGCTGGCTTAGAATTTATACACACACTAACATACATATAAAGCATATCCTATGTGTGTGTAAATAACTAGCTGACTCAGTTCAGAACTATAACTATGTAATATAGTGAATGTATTTATAATACTCTTTACAAAATGCCAAAATGTTACAAATAGCCCTTTCTCCCAAAGCATTCCGTAAAAGTTACTTGTTTTGACAACAAATGAGTCCATCTTGAATACTACACTCATACGAAAAAGATAGGAAATTAAAGGAGGTTATACTCTGTCAATTAAAATTGTTCACTTGTTTCATATACTCTGAGCATTGAAATTTGTAAACCTTCAGAATTATTATCCAGCGTGATTTATTTTAAAATGCTTTGGAAATTAATGTATCAATAACATAGATGTTCGCACAAAGAAAAAATGTATGCCGTGCAAAAACTTGTACTTATATCATACTTTGAGATTAAGGCAGCCCCGGCTTACACAAAATATTGCATTTCACACTGGCGGGAGAAGGTTTGTTTTTTTGTTTTCGTTAAATTTCACAAAATCAAATAGTCAAAAAATCAAACAAACAAACGGAAATTATCAAGTATACTTATGAATAAAAGATAATTGATGCAGGTTCCAAAAAAAAAAATGCCCATGTTATAGTAGATCGGTTAATTCTGAATGATCAGCAATCATTTATTTGTCAAAAGTCACTTGAAAACAACCATAGACGATGACTAAACCTATTAGAGCATTCAAAACATAGAATTAAATTTTTTAGATAAAATATTTAAGATTTGGATGTTGGAGACCAAAGCGTCTTGTCTTATTATATTTTTCTTTTGCCTATCGAAAAAATGTTTTTTTTTAGAGTCAACTACGTTGAACCACTACGTGTTCAATAGAATGTAAACCAAGGTAGCTATGCACGTACAAAGTGTTACTCTAGCTTCTATCTACATATGAACTTGACATGGAAGTCTTACAAATTCCAATGTATAGACTGAGTGAGAACTTGAGGCGCCTTCAATTTTATTTTATTGCATGGCTTATCACATATAAATGTGATATGTGTATTATCAAATATTAGATAACATTAGTTGAACATCGTACATTGGCCTTACAAACATACACACACACTTACATAAGTACCCCTCACATAGATATACTTGTAAGGTAAGGAGTGAAAACGGCGAAAACAAAAACAAAAAATAAACAATAAAAGCGAATAACCTTGAGAAATGACTCATTTACGTAAATGCACACAAAAAGCAGGCAAGCAAGCAAAACGAAAGGTGAAAAACAGAAGCGCAAACAAATACCACTACATACACACAAACAGACATACATATATACAAATGTACATACACACGCAAACGACAGCTTGAACGCAGCATTTAATGTGGGCGTTTAAAAAGTCGACCGCTAGCGACAACAAAACGAGCGTGCGAACGAAATGGCAACAATTTACATAGATACTATATACACACACACACACACACGCACACACAAACGGCATTTCAGCTGACAAGCGTAATCAAGCGCAAGCCATGTTAAGTCAACAAACCAAAATGCGAAGCACGAGGCAATGCCAATACGAAAATAACGAGCATCCAAACATACAAGAAGACACGGTACAATATGAAAACGTGGAGTAGTAGCCGATACCCAAACCATTGTGTGTTTGCGCCAACAACAACACACATCATGAATGAATTGAGCAACCTGAGGTACGAGTTGCGTAGGCGCAGAAGCACGAGAAGTAACGACTGCAGGGGCAGATGAATAAATGTGGCAATAAATCTAGATAGATAGATATAACAACAAATTTCTTCTCTTTCCCTATCCTTAGATATTTTAAATTTTAACTATATGTCTTTCTGTTGTTAAAACAATAACAAAATGCGACCAAGCAACAAAAAATAGTTTCGCCACTAATTACATAAAACCTTCTTACCTAAAGGGCATAAAATTGTTTTCGCAGGAGGACAGTTATATTTAAATTAAATTTCCACTACAAATGACAATCCCATAATCAATATAATTTGCACTCTTCGTACTCATGTGTTGATTGCTTTTGAAAAAAAATAAGGCACAACTCTCTATGTCTCTTTCTCGTACAGTCTCTAAGATCCAGGTGTTTTTTTGGACGGACAGACAGTCAGGGCTCCTGATCAAGAATATACATATATACATACTTTGTAGGGTCACTTCCCACAAACCATATACACTCTTGTACCTTTTAGGTAAAGCGTATAAAAAGTATGTAAAAGTTCTATTATTCCAGCATGATTTAATATTAATATTTTTCCTGCAAACCCATTTATCAGTCTGTATGAACGCAAGAACATAAATCGAAAAGTTTTATTAAAAAGG